TGCGGAAGATGCCGATGCACCAGCAAAACCGAATCCGCCGAAAGAAGCACCAGAGGATGAACAGGCAGTGGCCACAAAGACAAGTACTGTGGAGGGAAGTGCTCCAGAAACTGCAAGAGCAGGTTCCCAAAGCCAAGATCAACACCAGCCCTGGCCCCAACAGCCTGGTAGTACTGCCCAGGATCACACAGAGATAGCTGAGATAGCTGAGATGACGGGCAAAGATACAGGAGAGAAGCCGGAAGAGCCCGAAGACAAACCACTTGCAGTGACTGAGATGTCAAGCCCGTCAAAGCAAGGTGCCCCCACACAGCTCAAGCCACCTGCAGAGGACGCAGATCGGCACTAGCCAGAGCAGAATCCTTCTAAATGATCAGATGAGCTGAAGGTGATGGCTGGATAAGGATCAGGACATCCTTATGAGATGATAATTCACGAAAAGCTGCAGTATTCCACATCATGGCCGATGGACCTAAGAACCATGGGCCGTCGCGCTGGGCAATATAGTTTGGATGCCTAGCACGCTGAGGGTTGGCAATGGGCGAAGCAATGAGGCCAAGATCGAAGGGTGGAGGACGCTGCCAGGAGAAAGGGCATCGCTACAAGGAGCAGGAAGCTAGGAGCTTTTTCACCGGAGACTGCAGACCGCACCATTACACCATGCCTGAAATCAACAGATTCAGGCACTCGAGCTGAGATTGGATGAGATGGAGCAGGCACAGACACTTCGCGCACCAAAGGGCTCACGTCTCAACTTGTCACTGTGAGCATGAGCTCAGCCAAAACTGGCACTCGCATGAGGCAAAAAGGGGTGCGTAAGCAACTCCTCTCTCATGTGAGCGTGATAAGCCTGGTTGGAACACCATTGGACTCACGTCACTGGTGCCACCGGCGCCACCGGCGCACCCTGAGCCCCAGGTGGTGCCATGACTTGACCATGTGCATTTGCTGCTCAAGCCACCATTGGATTTTTAGTTACAGTACCCCGCTGGGATTTTGATTTGGAGAAGCTTGAGGCGCAGGGCTGCCGGGTTGCAAGAGAACCAGTGCTAAGAGAATTGTAACGAGTCTTGTGCAGATTTGCCGCCACTGACAGGTACACAGGCGGTTCGATTTCGTTTACTGTACCCTCCAGACATCATTCAGACAGGGGCGCACTGTATCCACGGGCAGCTCTGCAGGCCATGGCAGCCCGGGTTATCCTTTCATTGCTCTTCCTGCCTGTGGCATTGGCTGAGAAATGGGCTGTCATTGCTGCTGGCTCCCAAGGTGGGAACACCGTGCTCCGGTTTTCTTCGATTTTGTTGGAAGGCTTTTCGAACTGCCTGTTGTAGTTGACTTGCTTGCTGTTACTTGCCCCAAAGAAGAGAACTTGATGCCGCTTGGCTAGCGCTTGTTGGCCGTGAGGCTTTATGAACTATCGTCATCAGGCAGACGCTTGCCATGCTTACCAGATTATGCTGAAGAGTGGCGTGCCAGCTGCAAACATCATCCTCATGATGCAGGACTGTTGCAACCACTTTTGGATGCTAGATGTTTCATAATCATCATCCTCTTCAGGCTCCGCCTGTTCGCAGGATGACGTGGCGAAGAGTTCGGAGAATCCCTTCCCTGGACAGCTCTTCAACAAACCGGGCAATGCATCTCTGGATGCCACTCCAGATGTAACAAGCCAGATTGCAGTTTGCGGAAGTTGCATGCATGACATGACCGGATAGGCTGTCCAGGTCTGACTTTGATGGATAATTTTTTACTACCATCGCCAGATCAAACTCGTACCTGAGCGTTTGCTTGTGACAATGGCGTGTTCATTTTGACCTGACAATGTTCACTAGTGCCGTCCAGATTGCGTTTGTGGCGTGGAGTTGTATTGCCACCGATGATTAGCGGCAATTGTTGCATTCCATCCATGCAAGCACCGACATGAGGTCTACAAGGGTTGCAAGGTTGATTACTCTGGGGACATTGTCACAGCTCAGCTCTTTCTGGATGTGCTCACTGGCAAGGGGAAGGGCAAGGCGCTCCCCACTGACATCGATGCAAGCAGAGACCTGTACCACCCCCGAGCACCACAGCCCTCTCGCCAAATTGAACTTTGAAAACCGGGCAGCGAAAGATAATCTACTGGCAGGTGCTCAAGAGCACGGAGAAAGACACGGTCTTTGTCAATTTTGTCGATCACGGAGGCAGATTCAGTGATTCACGTGAACCATTTAGCCTAATTACATCTAATTACTATTCAGTGATGCTGCGAGGTTTGTTGTCCAGCTCTCCCAATTGTATACCGCATAGTCAAAAAGATGTCAAAAGTTCAAAGCTGGGTTGTCGTTGGTGGTACCTCGGGGGGCTCTGCCTTTAGAAGCACACAGTCACATGCGTGAAGTGCAACTCCTGGAGGAAGGAGGAATTCCATGCATGAATGCGTAGTTCGCACGGCTGCAATGCGAACGAACATGACACACACACACAATCACACATACATATCAGTACATATTACATATTATGTAATAATACATGTTATATACATTTGCGTGTGTGCTTGGTTTGTGCGTGCCAGCGGCAGTAAGCATACACATCAAAGTGTATAAGTTGTATGTACGTCAGCATGTCAAGTTAAAGTTCTTGCCTTTTTGGTGTTGTTCGGCTTGATTCCAGCTGATGTGTGCGAATCAATCGTAGTTCGGGTCGCAGCATTATTCTCGAACTTGAAACATCAGCCTCACCGGAGGTCCTGGCATTGTTGCTTTCCCAAACGGCCCTTTCCTGCATGTCAAGGACTGTGGTTGAAGCGCACAGCATCCAAATTACACAACCAACACCAACAGTGCTGCTTAAAGATACGTTTTGAAATCCAAGTTGGCTTCCTCATGTGACATGCGAGAGGACCTTTCCAAGACTCTGGAGACCATGCAGAGCCAAAAGATGTTTAATCAGCTGGTGTTCTACATGGCATTTTGGCATGCAAGTGCCGGAAAACGCTTGCGAGTTCGGCTCGCATCGACCCATCCATCACTCTTGCATGTCCGTTGAGAAGATAGGGCCTATGCAGGGGGAATTCACATGACATCATAGTTGTGCCGTGTACTAGTGGTCCATGCTCGTATGTCCCGAGGGTGATTTTTCAATCTGACAACATTTGCCGCACAGTAGTGCTTGTTTACATTTGCTCAGGTTTGGAGCATGCCTAGTTAGTTGGTCAAAACCATAGTAATAGTAGTCACGATTGTCAGTTGTTCTACAATTTAGACGGTGTCACTGCAAGCGATGACGCTACCAATCCATGCCATACACTGCCGTTTGTCCGGAAGTGCGCCTTACTGAAAACATCATTTGTGGCTCGGGTATGGACTTGTAAGAGCAGCGGTTTCTGAATTGTTTGCTTACCTGGTTACCTGAGGTTTGCGCGTACCACAGTCATTCTATATCGAGAGACTGACCGAACATATCCGACTATATAATATTATATCAATAACTTTCACATGTTTGGCAAATTTATCATTCATACATGTTCCCAGCCAATTTGCAATTTGCAAAGAGACCTGCCTTATGCCTTAGAAGTCCACAGCAACCGCCCATACATGCCCTTACAATCCTTTTCAACAAGTTTTAATTTGTGGGCGTTGTTCGCATGGCACTGCAAGCAAAGAACACGTAGGTGCGGAGAGGTTTGTGTGAAGAATGTTGCAGCAAACTCCACCCAAGATTGCTGCCTATCTTTAGGCCTTTGATTGCAAGAATCACTTGAAGGCTGCTCTCGCCTTCACTTCCTATTCCTGTTCCTCGAGCATGATGGAAACCTTCCTACTTCCCACATGTTGCTAATCACATGCTTGTCGTGGCACTTGACACGTGCTTTTGCCATGATGTATGTGTTGCAACATTGGCGGGGAAGGGGGCCGTGAGCATCCGCACATCATCTCCCTGGGAGTTCGTATGTGCAAAGCTAAGGAGGCATGCGAGAGCGGTTCCATGCTCCCAGATCTGAAAGATGATGGCAAGATTCTGGCTGTGACGGCTTCCAATGGCAAGGCACGCAGCATATGTGGTTTGCCCGTGCAAGAGGTTCATGGGGATAAAAAGGCGGCATGAAATGACACTGGATTCTTTTGATGAATGGCCGTTTTTGCAAAGGTGAGGACCAGTCACACTGGTGTCCAGATACTGTAGCTGTGCTTTGCCGATCGCCCGTGCCAGGAGTCGTCTTGGGGCACCTACTGTGGCCTGGGCCTCAGCAATCTCAGAGAGTTTTGATTGCGATTCTATGCTTCACTTCAAGCTGCTGTAAACTCAGCACTTCTGCCAAAGTACTGGCTGAGCGGTTGAATGGTGTTTGGTGGTTCCTTTTGGAAGGGACTGTGGCAAAAATGTTGGAGGTGATGAAGCCGTGGTCAAGGGCAAGAACATTGGTTCCTGCCTGGGCGACCTGTTTTCAGTGAACTGGATGGAGGCTGTGTGGGTCCCGAACATCTCATTCATGCCCGTTTAGCAAGGGACACAGAAACGGCACCGCAGTTGCTCGCAAGTCGAAAGAGTTGCTTGATGTTGTTGGATATATATATATATATGTGTGTGTACATGTATCCTGGAGTTGGCAGCTATGCAGGATGACGACCTGGGCAAATTGGCATCTGAGACCTTCCGCTCACAGATTTCGAAGGCCACTGGAGGATATGTTTGCGTGTTTCGCTCTTTAGGTTGATCTACTTTTGTTCGATTCTGCTTGCGGGCTGTGTGTGCTCCAATCGAGCCAACCAATCAGGGGCAACCGCAGCTACATTAGAAGTCGATTTTGCCACTGTAAAGCGTAAAGGTAGTAGGAGGGTTTTTCACAGTCAGTCGCAAAGGTATGCCAAGATCGCCCCTAAGCAAGCAGAGCAACAGTCACAGGAAATGGTTCAATGAAGTCATTCCCAGGGCCTTCTGCGTTTCAGCCGCCATCGGCCACTGCACGGGTGAGGTGACCAAACTCACCAACAAGAGCCATGTTTGCAGTGCCTGCGGCTGCATCGATTCACTAGTTGCTAAATGGACAGGGGTGCCAATATCACACTGTTGTGGTCATGAGTTCCTGACTCAAAGCGTCTCAAAGCAATGCATTCCTTGCCAAAGCCCAGGCTTTGGTGACAAGTCTTTCGAGGATGAGGCTATCGGCCGAGTGGAAGGCAAGGTGCAGCACTTATTGTGTTGATTTTTTGCCGCCAGCACCTAATGGGACGTACTGATACTAGTTGATGAAATTGAACGCTATGCGCCAAACAGGCACATACAACAAGCAGTTGATGCACATCACCTTTGTCACACGGAGTCCACGCATGATCCTCCTGCAATGTGCGCCAGAAAAGCTTCTAGTTACCAGTAGCGTTGCCAGGAGCCCCTAGTAGCGAATTTTGCTCCTAGTAGTAAGGCCAGGAGCCCCTAGTAGCGTCCTTGCCCCTAGTAGCGATATATATATATATAGAATTTGTTGAACATTGGTTGATCTATGTTGATGTTGCGGTGTAACTATTTGGCGCCGCCAGTTCTGGCGAGTGGAATGCGTACGGCGTGCTCGGATTCCGAAGGGGGACGTCCGCATGTTTGCAGGGGCCTTGATCTCTGATGTCTTCTCGGACTCCTCTAAGGGTGCGGTGGACGCACGTGACATTTATGCAGCTTGGTGATGTGTGTAATTTCTCATTCTGATGCATTGCTTTTCGCTCTTGATCACATGCCTGGATCCATTCTTGATATCTAAGAGCCTCCTTGGAAATTGCATGTGCCAGATGTTCAGGGTGGCATTGCGGATGGAGGGTGGGGTGCACAATACCAATACCTGTGAACATGTACCGCTACATAATTATGATATCACACTTGTTCACAGGCACGCACGTACAATTGTAGCTGGGCCTGAGCCACAGATTCACTGATCCAGACCTCAAAGACACAGTCAATAGGGAGGTGAATCGATGAGATCGGCTTGCATTCTGCTTTGGTATGGCTTCTGCAAAACTTTGACTCTCTTCCAGGTGACTCAAGCCTACTGGGCATGGCAAAACGCGGCCGTGGATCAGAAGGAGAAGGCCCGTGCAGTGCTGTTCTATTCAAGGTTGCATTGTTTTTTGCTCCTCACGTTTTACCTTGCTGATGCCTACATGTAGAAAACCAGGGGGAGGCCATGTGTTTTTATGGTGAGAAGGCGCTTGGTAACGAACCTTGTAAGATTCCGGCGGGTATCACGGCAAATGTGCAGTACTGTGTTACTTGCCAGCTTTTCCATCAAGGCTTGGGCTCGTTTTGTGGGCATTGTGAACGATCGCGAGAGGGATGATCAACTCTTTGCTACAATGGGCCGACAAGCGTGTGCAGCCACTCGGACCCTGAAGCTTTGTCCCCCAGTGCTTAAGAAAGAAGAGCGTAGCGGTACAGTAGCGCATTTTGAAGGAACACGTTTACTGCTGCGATCCATGTAGAAAGCGGCACCGCAACATGTCTGAACAGTGAAGTGACAATGATGAAGGTGATGTCATGATTCCGGTTTCTTGTTTGGGTCATTTTTTTCTTTACAATTTATCACTACCAGTGTGCACGGTCCTTACTTTCATGGCGAGCCTTGGTGATTCCACGTTTGAGACTGATTCATTTTTCTCGGCCGACTTCTCCCATTTGTTCCGACTATTTCGTGGCCTATCCGAAATTAGTTATGTGACATGGGTCTACGTGCGTATCCAATTTTTGAAAGATTGTTATAGTTGTATATGTTATATCACGTACTTTTATCGCAAAAACCCTTCATCAGCAAGCTGCTCGGCGATGACAGGTTCTGCTGCAACCATGCTTTTGCATTCACTTCATGTTGTTTGACACGTCTATGTGACCTACCGCCTACGTGCGTTGAGGGTTCCACCAAAGTGCAGTTGGACGAGTGCCAGCAGAGCATTTTGGGAGACCGTGCTGAGATGAAGGACCCTCGGACGGCGGAGTTTGTATAGTCTCGGACAATCACTTAGAACACGTTTTGGACAAACAAATTCCAGGTAGAAGTTCTGAGTGCACGCTCTTAGAACATCTTAGCACTGGACATTAAACATACACTTAGAACATTTATAATTACATACAAATACAAACTTTTGAGGAATGAGCCTCGTCCCAGGGAAAGGTAGCCACGCATGGCGGCGCTTTCCAAAGCTCTCCTGGAGGGAGCCGCAACCGAGTATGTACCTCTACAATATCAACAAAAAAACAAATATATATATATACATAATATATATATGTCATATGTTTATTTATATATATATATATATTTCATCACTTCAGTTCTGCTCAGATGGATGTTCCAAGTGTACACTTAGAACATGGGAATGTTGTTTCTGGAAAAATACCCTGTGTATATGTCCGTCGCTATACTGTACCTTGTTTGGATGGATCGGGTGTGGATGATAATAATTGTTGTTGCTGCTCTCAATCAGCTAGGTGTGTGTTGGGAAAGTGGGCGACTCATAAACACAACCATCATGGTAAGTTTATGTGTCATGGAAGGATTGAATACGTCCAATGGCCCTGTTTGTTTCCTTGAATGCTTCCTTTAGGTTCACAGGCCGGGCAACCCTGCGAGGACATGGACTGCCACAAGAAGTTGGCAACTCTTGTGCACGAGCACTGCCCTGTCTCTTCCAGCCATCATGCCACAGGCGGCTGGAATGGCTACAACATGAAGTTCTCCCAAGTTCCTTTGCGTCCATTCATGATTGCATCCATTCATGATCAGGTCGCAGAGTGGCCGCAACCAAACCAAGAGTTCTTTTCCAAGTGTCAGTGTCCGCGTGACACCATGTAGCAAATATCAACCCCTAAGAAGACAAAGGGGGCAATGCGAGGGACCTGAATTTTTGTCCCAAGGTGCTTCTGAACCTTTGTGAGCACCAAGAGGAACTTGGGCAGAGTGTGGATCAGCTGGCCCAAATTGTCGAAGAGGAATGCAGCAAGGCCATTTGCAGCAAATAAAAATCTGCCGGAGGTTTCTAGTTTGCCGAACGATTCGGGAGCAGGCCAGAAGTTTGTCCCTGCATGATTTTGCCGGGCAACAGCAGCATACATGGACTGTATAGTTATAGTGGCAGAGACAAGCTTTAGATTCAATTTCAAATCAGGGGACACCTGGGCGTGAACCCCCAGGAATGATCACAACATATCGCGACCTTTGTACTTACGCCTTATAAAGCTGTTTTTGGATTGAAGCTTGGATTATAACCCAATGAGGCTGATGGAGACCGCACTTGGCAAACATGTCATGTTAGAAGGGTGCACTTCGTTAGAGGTTTGCTCATTTGCAGGTCAAGGCGGTCGTCACCGAAGTGGTGGTTTGAAATGCCTGCAGCCCCAGTTCTCATTTGTGCTTTTGTGCTTGCTTTGATAGGTGCTTTACTGCCCCTGCATGACAAACAAATTCCTCACTGGGGACGTCAACAACATGAGTTCACACTCGGTGAAAACGTTTAGGTGCAAACCAACGGTTCTTAGCTTCCACAACAAGTTGCGACGGCGTGCCATCGCCTGATGCATTGTGCAGTAGGATTCTTGTCAGGACTTCCATGTGGTCACAAGAGGATTCCGATCACTATGTTTGAAGTGCACCTGTGTAGTTGGCCCACGGCGGATAGACGGCCGTGGGCTTTTCTTACATTTTTGGATATTTTGTTTTCTACAGTACTACCTGTGGGAATTTTCTTTGGGGGTGGGGGGGGAGGCACACCTGTGGCGTAGCATGTTATCTATTTCAGTCTATTTTGGTACCCCTGCTTCCACCTTGGTTCTTCGACGCGAAACAATACTCGTACTAGTACCTTGACCCCTGAAACCACCCCAATGTAGGTAAATATGCCATACATGGAGTGTTTGGGACATGTCTTGACCCCTGAAACCACCCCAATGTCGTTCATCCGGATGCAGTTTTGTTGCTCATATGGCGGAATTTTCCTTTGTTTCCGCTTTAGGTTTGGCTGTTCTTTTGTTGTTGAGGTTAGGGGGTTGGACAAGGGTGGATCAGCTCCCCGAATCCTTACGAGCATGGTTTGAGGTAGACCCGTGGTATCTTGATAGTTTGTTGAAACCTGGAGTGGAAGTTCCACCGCTGATCGGTTCTTCTTGAAGTGTTGCAAATAGCTCTGCAGCAAGATCGGTGGCCCATGGTCTTACTGGCGGACCTTAAAGGAGTTTTTGCCGGCCAACCTGGTTCTGAAATGCAAAGAAAGAAATCACACGCAAATACATACACGCAAATACATCCCAGCGTGCCGCAGTACGTGTACATGTGGGCTTGGCGACAAAGCTTGAACTGTGCGACACCCGCTCAGTTCTTGCGCTGCTTGGAGGAGCTCCTTTGAAGAGTGAAAAGAAACGGTTCCGTGCTCGACGCATGTCCCAAGGGCAGGCGGATGAACATGTTAACACCTTCCACCAGAGGCATTGGCATTCATTTGGCATCGCTGCTAACAGCAAGGACGCTATTAGGAGCCCATGGTCTTACTGCTAGGAACCAGAAGCTACTAGTAACAAGGGCATCGCTACTAGATTTGAAGTTGATATATAAATATATGACGGCCAAATTAGTTGCGTAGTTTCGAAAATCCTTCGAAGTCGTCATTTCGCCTCAACGAAACTCCCATTTTATCGAAATCTGCATGGAATTCGCAATGATTCCAATGATGAAGTGTCGCTCACATCATTCCTAATGGAATTATGCATATTTGAGACGGACTGCCCCACGAACATCCTTCATCACACCACGGCCGTCTATCCGCCGTGTACCTAGTTCTGGTGCTCTTCACCACCACGCGTGTTGCACCAGAGTATAGTAATTCAGAAGTGATTCTGGAAACTGTATTTGATGCATTTTGATGCACCATTTAGTAGTTGGTGGTGTGGATCATTTGGCTTGCGGCAGGCATGGAAGATCAGTTCAGATCAGAACATGAGCCATGAAACGGTAATATTACAATATTGGGAGATGCCAGAGTGTTGCCTTTCCATTTCTATAGCATGGATGGTCTTGAAACAAACAATACAACAATATTGTCTTTGTTTCGGCGTGCTTCCCCTTCTCTTCTGACGTTAGGGCCGTGGGGTTTGCAAGAGTTGGCAAGGCTTTCAGTTGCGTCAGGAGCGATGAGGGACGAAGACGGTTGGTGAGTTTTGTGAATCTAATTACTACTGGTCAGGGCGGTGAGGGTTGTCAGGGTTGAGATGAAATCAAAAGGGCATCAAATCATGTTTGGTCGGCACGGGTATATAAAACACATAATTACGTTAACGGAGGCCCGCTCGAACACCATGGACTCAGTCCTGGTTGCTTGCTTTCTTTCTCTCTCTCTCTCTCTTTCTTTTTAGTTGCATGTGCAGATGTTGGTGTGGCTCAATATGTCAGACCTTGGGCCCGCTGGCTTTGGTTTGCTTTTCCAAGTAAGTAGTTTTCTAAGTAAGTAAACAAGTAAGTAAGTGATTAAGTAAGCAAGTGCGAGCTTTTCAGTTTATGGGATCAAAGTGTTTAGATGCAGATTGCTCAATCATTCGATCATCCCCAACTTCGCACCAACAGCAATAGCTGCTAGCTGCTAGCTCGGTCAAATTTGCTTTGTTTGCTGCTAAGGCCCTGAGCAGCAGGCTGCATGAAGCTGCTCAATTTTGATGACTTCACTGATTTGAAATGTAGTGATGACTGGAGCCTCCTATGTGCGCTTGGCACGGGCAATCGCAGCTTGTGAAAAACTTATGTGCGGCTGCCTTTCGCCTCACCGATGTTTCAATAGCAGGCCAAGCCAACATGATATAGGAAAGTGCGGGGTGCAATTTTCCTTTGAAGTGGATAGTAGAGAGATGTCGTGACTGAGTCGGTCATTCCTTTTGGAACTCCATCGAAATGCAGTGGTTCTAGCCTAATTATTCTAGTGATTCTAGTGGCTCTTTGAGCGGAACCTTCGCGAAAGTTTAGGGTATGCCACCTAGCAATAGCGAGCAATGGCATGGCAAACTTCAGAATTTTACATGCCCACTCATGGCTCCTACTTTGCAGAAACACCAGTGCTAACCATCCATGGTTGGTGCAGGAGACGATGATCTTGCAGAATTGAGGTACTTAAATTAAAGGGGCTTAATTCCCTCAACTGGATCCCAATGGGGTCACCTGTTGCTTCTTGTGTGTTGTAACCGGTTCAAGGAAGGGGAGATGCCTGAAACTGTCATTCCCTAGTCGTTTCCAGCATTAGCCGCATGCGGGTAGAGCTACTTTATATTTACTAGTGAATTCTAGAGAACAGGCACCCAGAGGGCGATGGAGAGGGAGGGAGGGAGGGAGAAAAAGAGAGAGAGAGAGAGAGAGTGAGGTTAATAATTGCCCGAAAGTGTGAAAAACACATAGTTTTTTTGCAGATTGCCGCGTCAGCTGGCAGAGTTCTGGTGGGCTGAGCGAGCGCTGGAAGCTAGGGAAAGTCAAAAAGCGTCAATCCAGCGATGCCTTGCTGATCTGCAGCTTGTACAGCTTCAGGGTGGCTTCCGGGTGGCTTCCGGGTGGCTGCAGTGGCACACCAGTAGGCGACAGGGCAAGACCATGAACATCGCAAAACAATGTTGAGAAGCAGAGATGAGTTGACCTGGACACATTTGAACTACCAAGCCTGTCGTTTCACAGCTCATGCCATGGAGTGCGAAAGCCTTGTGGCTCCACTCTGTGAAGGAGGCCTTGCGGCCTTGCTTGGCGTTGTTTGACTTGAATTCCTTGCCAGTCGCCTGTGCATATCTTTTGCTCATTCCAGCTTGCTCTCCCACATGGTTAAGCCAGTTGTGCAGAGTCGTTGCAGTTGAATCTGCGCTTTCAGATGGTTCCGTCATGACTACTCTGATGAACGACTTGTTTGAAGACGGGTGCACCAGCAAATACATCCCGGCACCTGACTGAGAATGAAACCTACCGGGTGGAAATCGCTAGACCAAACATATCTTGTGGTAAAGGTCATGGGTAGTCCACGAACTTGCTAGATTCATTGAAAGTCCCATGCCGCTTGCAGCAGCTGCCGCTTTAGTCATCGCAGGTGTCTCCTTGGCCATCTTAGTTGGCGCCACTCTTCGTGCCCAGGCGGCCTTTGCCACCGCGGCCCGTGCAGAGCTCCGCCGTGCGGCCGCAGAGAGCGAGGCACGACGCCTGGAGCAAGCGAGGCACCACGAGGAGCGGAGGACCATGGCCATGGCCGAGACGGAGGACACCGTCACGCCTCGAAGCAGTCCGGTGAGTGCCATGAGCCAAATGAGCCCGAACCGCAACTCGGCGTCCCTTCGCTTCAGCGTGCTGCTGTTGGATCATGACGATACTACCGTTCGTGGGACTGAGGAGGTGCACTACCCAGCACATGTCGAGAGCGTGAAGGCTTTACGACCTGACTTGATACCTGTCTCCCTCGCTGGGTGGTTTCAGAAGAATCATGATCCTGGTGTTTCGTGCTACCTCAAATCTCTCTTCACACCCGAGCTAATGCAAGAGGAGCACAAGATTTGGAGGAAAGCAATGGATGAAAAGATTCCATCGTTCTACGAAGGCATTCCGGAGCTACTGAGTGAGTATCGAGCGAAAGGTGGTCGAGTGGCTGTGGTGTCTCACAGCCCTGCTGAAGTCATTCACCGTCACTATGAAGCACATCCTTGGGCGGAGCAAATTCGACCAGATTTAGTTCTGGGATGGGATGATGACCCAGCCCGTCGCAAGCCTGCGCCATGGCCAGCGATTCATGCTCTAGACTACTTCAAAGCAAAGCCGAGTGATGCCTTAGTGATTGACGATCTATCGCCGGGTGTAAAAATGGCCAAGGCTGCAGGCCTCGAGGTGGTGGCAGCTGGCTGGGGCCATTCAGTTCAGCCCATCCAGGATTACATGCGCCAAGAGTGTCAGCAATACTTCGAGACCGTGCAGGATCTGGCTGCGTTCCTTCTAGAGCCAGCAAGTCCAGATTGAGGCGTCA